ATACCTTAATATTCTCATCATTATAATATTTCCCTGAATCTGAATCTAGCAAAGCACATTTTTTAATTTAAAAAGAGTATGCTCATGCTTTTAAGCTCCAAAAAATGATTAGCATTACATTATAAGCAAAGAAAATTGTCCAATGCAGCCTCTTTTAAATGTAGCAGAATCTACCATCTTTGACAACCCAGGTTTAGGAAATGACAAGAACTTCAACAAAAGCCATGTTGAAGTTGGAGAGAGATGCACTGACATCTGAATGAAGATACATAAACTGGTGTTTTTTTAAGATATACACCATATTTTACAGTACAGTTCGCTGTTTGTTGTCTCATTTTTCTAAGGGTTTTTAAAATCTCTGTTCTCCAGCATTCTGTCAAGTTTTACATGCAAAAATTGCCCATATGCTAAATCTGACCCAAATATACAGAAACACATTTGAAAATGTCTTTACTATTTATGTGCATACAGACTACTTATACACGTTAGGAACTATGTTTGATACCACATGCATAAAAAGGGAATATGTAATCTATACATAGAATATTCCTGATTAAGACTTCATGTTTATTAGTGAACCATTAATGAATTTGAACTCAGTGTTGAAATATGACATCAGGCAAAACACTGGAATCTTAGGAGATGAAAAGTTTATTTAAAAACTTAATATTTAGCAAAAAAAATTGTACACTATTTTCCAATTTCTACAGAAATACAATAACTTATAGCTGTGCTTAATACATTTTATCACTAGTACATATAAAAATGATTCTACTGATAAATAAGTGGAAAATTCATTCTGCCAACCACCACCATTAAAATTGTACCTGTAATTCTGGAAGACATCTGCATAGAATTGTTAGGATTCTAGGGCTGGTTTTTAATATACTTTTGTACTGATAGGATCATGTTAAAATGGCATGTAATACAAAATACTTGAAATAAACAAGACTGAGTTTAGTGTGCACAACTAGAAAACAACGTTAGGATGCTCTCTTAGGTTTCTAATGCATTGGAAGCCAGGGCATTTTAAACATTGTAGACTTTCCACTTCCTTTCACAGGAAAGCTGAATTTATAAGGATCAAAATCTATGCTCAGTTGGGTCCTGTTTTATGTAGAACATGTGAAGGAAGTTAGTTAGATGCAGTTAGTAGGAGCAGAAGTAGTTATCCATTACAAGATTTTTACTGCATGATTCTAGAAACTTAATCAAACTTGAAGTAGCTACATTTAAAAAAAAACCCACCACAGTTACTGATTTATAAGCGACTACGAGATGATAAGACAACAGATAACTGTGCAGTTTAATTACCGCACAATATAATTTAGTATGTATAGTGTACTTTTGGGGGGGAGGGGACTAAGCCATTCAATAGTTGTTAAAATTGCCACCAGCCAAACTACATCAAATGCATCTTTTATGCCCAAAACCTCTACACCCATCCTTTCATAAGAAGCATTTTGCACTGAATTCAGCTGTCAAACTAAATGCAGCCATTGATCAGCAATATTATCTCAACAGTTGAAGACTTGTTCTGCATCTTACTGTATATTTCACACATGCATGCACTGCATCCCTCCCGCCATGGTGAAATCCTTCCCACCACGCCTGGATTTTTTTAATACTGATCCCTCCAGCAAACCTCTGTGTATCTAATGGCTGAGCATAACCCTTCTGGGTATCCCTAAAGAAAGTGGCTGTCAAAATGGCAGATTTAACTAGTAAATATTGTTTTAACAATCTTTATAGCTTGTTTCAGATTTTCAGACTAGTTCCCTTGATCTCCCAGTGATTTGAGGGCACTTGATTTCAAACAATCCTTTCACAGCTATTAAAAATACTGGCCCAAAACTTAGTTGCTTCTGCAGTAGTTGCATTTAGGAATGCTTCAATATAGTACTCTCGCTATTTTTTTTAAACTACTAACAGCTAAAAACTTTACAATGTTTTTCCTCAAGGACAGCAGAAACTGATAAATACCACACCAATAACAGCTTTCTTTCCACAAGAAAGCTAGGTTAGAATCATGCATAACATTATTCACTTAGGACAGCAGAACCACTTGTAATCCATCAAAGCAAGCATTTTATTATCAAGCTATCATGTAGTGACTTGACATCTTACCTGCAGTATATGCAGTAGCAATTTGATCCAGCAGCCTGTATTCATGTGAGTTTAGGTTGCAGGATCAAGCCTTAAAATAATTTGTATCCATTGTTGCTAGCCCTCAAAAAGATCTCAGAGAGAATAACAAACTTGAAAATTAAGTGCACATTGACAGTTTCCTCCAGATTTTTACTGATCTTTCCCAGCAACCAGTAGGGCAAATGACGCTTCTACAGATAGAAAATTTGACAGCTTTGCAATAATCTTCAGTTGTAAACAAGGGATAAGGTTTTCAGTTGTGACTTTTGGTGCTCATCTTAAAACAGGGACTGGATTGCCAGATGAAGGAGTGGGGCTCAACATCATTTCAAAATCAGACCCCTTTCAAAGAGGTCTCAATAGAGTAAATTAAAAGGGAGGCATCCAAAACAACCGGCCACTTTGAAAGATCTTGGACAGTATGACTTTTTTCCCCAACCCACAAAAGGATCAGCCACTGGGAAATACCAAAAACTAAGAAGTACATCACCCGTGTTGCTTTTCATGCTCCCCTCCATCTACTCTTGTAAAAGGAACATGGAGCAGCGCATCTTCCAAAATATACTCCACCCTTCCTTTAGAAAGGGATGATGATCTTGCCTTGAGCAGGGGGTTGGATTAGACTGGGGCGTTAAACTCGGGCCCTGTGGGCCGGATCTCGATTGTGGAGTTTACCATGGGCCAGATACAGATTGCAGGGCTTCCCATGGGCTGCGTGGGTGTTAATCTCTATGGCTGCCAAAACTGCTGTAGTCACAGGGCTCTGGAACCCAGAGAGTAATGCTGGTCCCCCTGCCCCACTCCTTTTCCCTTGCTGCCTAATTTAGTTGCTGGAGGTGACTAAAACATCCTGATTTCAGCAGCAGGCAAGGTGGGGGGAAAAGGGAGGTGAGTGGCATTAATTTCCTGGGTTCTGGTGCTGTATTGAAATAATGGGGTTTAATGCTACTGCTGCAGAACCAGCCCATGAGCCCTATGCTTGACATCTTTGGACCACATGAACTCCTTAGGTCCCATCCAGCCCTACTTTTTGTATGATACTGTGATTTATGCAGGACTCTCAAGGAACGCTCTATGGGCTTCCAGTTTAATGAGTGGAAAACTGACCAGACTACCACATTGTCCCATTTATGCTATCAGGGAACACAGTCTACAGTAATTCAAGCTGCATGCTCCTCCACAGCTTGGAAAACTCCTGTCAGGGCATCCAGGACTGCAAGTTCCACTGCCCTTTCCAGGCTCTCTGGAAAAAAGCCCAGCTAGGCTTCAGTGTGGATATAGTGGATGAGCAGGCCCTGAAGTTGGCAGACACTGTGTAAAATTCACAAATTAAAGATGGAATGGGACTATGCAGTTAACAGTAGGGCAGCATATTGTCCCCAAGGGATGAATTATTATTCACAATTTTCTTTCACTAGCTCACACAGGAATAACCCAGGCATGAGAAAATTGGGTCCTATACTTGAATTTACAGTGGCCCCACCTCTCTTCCTAGTTACTGAAGTGGACAGATTACAGGTTATTTATCCATGACTAGTTTATTCGTGATCCTATTCAAACAAGATTCCTATTCACTACAGTGGTACTCTTTGAGCAAAAAATATTCCATTAAAATGTCAGCTCTGGAAGATAATTTATGCTTTTAAATTCCCTGACTTTGGAATACTGCAAATGTTTCTGAATATTTTTTTATTTCTAGTGCCATAAGGTTGTGATTGTTTTGTCATCATACTATTCCAAGTGCCACTAATATTGCCAATTTAACCTGATTCATCTGCACCAAATAGTTTTCAGTGAATTTACAGTGGTCACAGTTATCTATCCAAAGTTTTTGATAAAATATAATGGTACTATGGTTAAAAGCTGCTTTTAACAAAACAGCTTTTAACCATAACATTTTTAATGATCCCAAAGCCACAAATGTGAAATATTTTTTTTCTTACATGTCTCCCAGACAGGCTAATGTTTGCACTGTAAAGAATACTACTCAGATGAAAGTGGAAGTGATGGCTTTATAGAATTAAACAATATTCACTGGTTCACATAGGTTCTATAGTACTGACCTAGAAATTTGCAGTACCATGGATCTCAGTGCTCCCCAGAGCCATTAGAAAAAGCTCCCTGTTTACTATTATATAAAATTATATGAGAACCTTCCCAGGCACACTGTTGCAGGAGGGGAACACTGCTTTAAATGTAGCCACTTCACAAAGGAAAAACCTGAACAAATGGGAATGGTCACAGTATATATAAATGTATTCTGTCTCAGGGTATTTACATTTTACATCACTTATGATATTTTCAACAGCTGACAATGGGATAATCCATACTTTGTTAACAATTGCATTCATTACTTCTCTGTATAAGGAATCTATTGTAGCAGAGGCACCAACTTTAAACTGCTATTCACATATCATACGCAAACTATTAAGTCTTCCAAGAAAACCACCCTTGCTTCAACATAATCATAGTCCACTCAGAAAATTCAATGCACACAAAATACAGATCTTAGTGTTTTTTTCTTCACTATTAACTAGGATTAATAGCAGGTTCCAGATGGTACAAATAAGGAAGCTTAATGACCCATGTTTCAATGAAGAGTTCTGCTCTTTAGCAAAGTTGTATGGTATATAAACATGTGTTGGCTAGACAACAAATAACAATCTTGTGCCTCATAAAACAGGTATGGGACTTTAGTGTTCAGACTCATCATAAGATTCAGGAAATTCAGGATCTGTAACATATCAGAGATACAGAATACATTTTCCCTGGTATTAAAAGACTTGGCCATGTGAGGTGTTGAGTGTCCTGCTGA